GCCCACGTGCCCCGGGAGGGAAAATGGCCGCGGAGTCTGTTCGTCTCCCGATCCGGCATTCGCGAACTGAAGCAAAATTTTGCGAACGAAGCTGTTCGTGACCCGAATTGGTCATGAACAGAAGCGCTCGTGACCCGAGGTACCACTGTATTTCTTCCTGAGAAGTGGTGTGTGAAGGAAGCTGTTGGAAAATATGGTCTTCCAAATGTTTTGAAGCTACACCTCTGTGCCAGGGTGAGCTTCTCTGATGGGTTGAGATGATTCAATGGTTTCAATGTTAAAGTATTTTTTTTACCTGTGGACCCAAATTAGGCTCAGTGTCATAGACCCTGAGAAACTTCTTGCCATATTATAACAGCTGAATATAGGCACATCTAACTTTAAACATTTAAAATGGAAAAAGCATTAAATAATGGAGCAGGAGGTTGTTGGGTATTCTTGGAGTTGTTTCTGTATAGTATGGACTTGTGAAACTGTATCTAGGGGGAATCTGTAGTTCGAGATTTAGCAGGACCAAGCTGGACCCCTGAGTAATCTGCTGAGTGAAGTAGCTGGTGGAAAGGATTGCAGTTTTCAGACAACAGACTAGAGGTCGGTGAAGACAGTTTGACAAAGGCGATGAAATCCAAGAAGCCCAGGAAAGTTACTTTTCCATTTTCTGGCTCTCTTCCATAGGATAGAAACAATGCCAGCAGTGAAAGTCAGAAAGAAGCTGCGTGAGGGAGGGAGGGAAGGAGTGAAACAGATAAAGACACTGTAGAACGTTCCATTTGAAATGATCTGCATAGAACTTTTATGTATAGCTTGTTAAGCTAAGGCCATTGCATATATTAAATATTGCTATAAATAGAGAACTGTGTCTGCATATCTAGAAAGTTCCTGTCTCTTCTTCCCATTCTATCCTCCAATAACCTCTAATAACTTTTTCTAGTTTACTTATCTGGTGGGAAAGGTGAGGAATGGTAAAACTAAGAGTCCAAGTACATATTGTGTTCTGAAAAGTAGTAACTCAAGACAGTAGGATGTCAGTAACTGAAGCTTTGGTCTTTACCTATTAGTATCATTTGGTTGCAAAGGCGGCGGCTAAGGAACAGTTAATCTTACTTTCATTATTGGGTGGTTTATTTATAACAAAAAGGCTCTCATTTCAAAAGAAAGAGAAAACTTAGGGAATTGTAATTGAATATTTTAATAATTGTCCTTTCATTATCTTTATGTTATTATATTTATTATAGTAAGATTTTTTAAAATATTTGTGAGATTGACTACATATAGTCTTTCCTTATGAATATATTAATTCCAACTGTTTCTAAAAGAAAGGGTGATAGTGGGACAACACAGACTTTGCACAAAGGTGCCAGCTTTCATCCAAAGTATTTTCAGATAGGTCTAGTGGGGGTGGAGGGTGGGGAACCTGCTAGAAATCCAGAAGACCTGCTGTCACAATGAACACATCCCTTAACTAGAGAGCCCAATGTTCTAAATCCACACAAGATAACTTTTTAATGTAAGGGTCATATCACTTTCACTCAGAAATGGCCAGTTTCCTTTGAGCTTCAAATAATAGCCATACTTGTTTCTACTTTAAGATTGCCAAGTATTATTTTCCATGATCAACTGAAAGTGAGATTAAACAGTTCCCCTCAGCACAACATACTACTACAGGCAGTCCTTGCTTAGCGACCACAATTGGGACCAGCAATTCTGTTGCTAAGCGGTAAATCATGTGACTGCGACAGGTTTATGACCTCACTTTCCCTTCGGTTGTTAAGTGAAGTGTCATGGTCATTAAGTGAAACATCATGTGACCACAACTTATAATTTTATTCTGCCTTCTATGCTTTTACCTCTGCCTTCTATTAACTCTGCTTGTCACAAGTCAGTTGTAAAGCACAGAAATGGCGATCACATGACTGAACAATGCTGTGAAAGTCATAAATGCGAGGACTGATTGCAAGGTTATTTTCTTTTATACCATCATAACCGCTAAACCGACTGTATACATATGTATTATCCAAGATTGTTCACCCCTATAACCAAGATTGGTAAAACCTAGGCAGTAAAGGCTCTTTCCAATAGTCAAGAAATTGTTTTACTCTATATAAAGAAACAGGATCTTCCACAGAAACAAAACAGAAAATAATGGATAATTAATATAATCTAATAAAGGACAACTCAGGTTATTATTCAGTAATCTTACACTTGCGAAACAAAAGCAAATAGGAAGAATTATTTAATTCAAAAGTAGAACACCAGCAAAATGCCTCAGTATCACTTTTACTGTCCATTAAAATGGATTTTTGCATTTTAAATTTTAAGAAATCACAACAGATGGGGATGGGGAACAACAGAGCAGTAAAGAAAATATTTTGGTTCAGTTTGTCTATCATGCAATTTTTTAAAATAGATATTTAACAAATAAAGCACTGGTAATTCCAGAAGAAAAGTCAAATGTCGAGATAACATTGTGCCTAATTTTTTTAAAAAATCTATTTTTATCCTCTTCTATGAAGAACTTGTTACTGATGACTTGAATTAGCATAGCAATAATACATTTCTGAAACAGAACTACAAAACTGCAAGTACAAAATAGTATAAAGGATCTAAAGAACTCCAGATCTAGGACTTTATCTTAAGTCACATGATATAAGCAAGCTTATGAAAAGTAAGCAGGTCAATTTCTTGATTTATCTTGATAAAGTTATATGCTGCCTTGGGCTCCATTATGGAGAGAAGGCAGGGTGTAGATAAAATAAATTTCTGCATACTGCTACGTTTATTTCCATGGAAAGACAGATTATTCAGCTATACAGAATGATCCTGCGTCTTATTCATTAGACCTATACAATCTCTTTTACATTTTATTGATTTTATGTAATTTCCCTTTGTATATCACCCAGAATGGAGTAATTTACAAAGGTATATATAATATTTTGCTGATTTATTATAATATACCTTTCTCTTCATATTATCAAATCCCTAAAAATCTTGGAATTTAATACATATTTGATAAAATAAAATTGACACCTAGAAATTAAACAAGTTATCAGCAAAAATGAAGAAAGCATGATCATGCATATTCAGATGTTTCCATTCCTCAAAGTAGAAGTTACCATGTTGTTGTCTTGGACAGATATACATTGTCAAAACACTTCTGCATTGCTCCTTATAAAAGAGAGATGTTTAGTGTTGGCTTGCTTATTGACTTAACATTGAAAATATTAATGTTTAGGTGGTTACTGAAGCATTTTCAATTTGTTTCATTTGCATGTATTTGATAATAACACATTCAATGCAGAAAATATTTGCAAAGGGGTCTTGAGACTCTCTCCAGTATTTTCTTACTGGAAAATATAAAAAATGTTATCTCTTGACAACATAAATCAATCTAAATTAAAGCAATACACTGCTTTTTTCTGTTAGTGTTATTTAATGTAAATAAGCATTTCTTTGTACAGGAAAAATTGGCAACAATTGCAGTTATGCATGTTGTGCAATTTAAAGTCTTAAATTATGACTGATAATAGAAAAGTGTTTTTTTCAGCTATACTGATATTTGCAAATTCAAATCTTAAAAATCTCCATCAATTTCTGTTTTTCTAGTAAGTCAGCCATATATTTCTAGCAACAGATGAGAAATAATGTAAATTACCTTTAAATGCAAATTTCCTCATAATTCTACACAAAGGACACAGAAGCTACATTATGGAAAACTGGAATAATTCCTATTGCCCTTCTTCTGCCTTGAGTCTGCTGTCAAAGTTGCAATCTGGATTCTTTGTGAAATGGGTATTCTTCTAATTTAAGGAACTGAGAACACGTCTCCTGCAAAATCTCTGTGATACAGATAAGCTAGGTAGGCAGGTAGGAGCACTACCAGAGTCATCTATTAGCTTACACAGCTACCTGGTTCTGGAAATGGCAGCCAAATGACACCACCAGAGAATTACACCTTGATAGGCTCAGGGCAATGGAGTCCAAAGGCCTGAAACTTTCAGCATGCTAAGTATTCAATATATAATTTAAATACCAACAATTCTCCAAGGATCATATGCCTGCCTGCACTCCATATCATATCAATTATGCTATATATCATATATAAAATAGAGGTGTATAATTCACAAATATACCTTTCTTATTAAAAAAAATATAATTCATTTGCAACCAAAGTAGCCATAAATAAAACCTTTTTATTCTTTGATGTAATTTACAAGCTACCAGGTACCATGTATTTTACACTGGTCACTTTAAAATTGATGTAGTCACAGAATAGCCCAGACCGAACAGAAAACTGTTCATGAAGTAAAGGTTCTTAAGTTAAATGTAAAATAATACTGTAACAGGTAAGTGGCAAAAAAGCAGGTTTGCCAAAATAAATCAGACTTGTAATGTTGCACGAATTCTGGCTGACTAGGAACTGAATACCATGCGATTCTCAGCAATATTGCCTGCAGTCTGGCTAATATCTGTAAAGTCCTCTTTCTTTTCTTACAGTTATTAAAATGAAAGAGTTAAAAACTATAGCAGCAACAAGCGAATCCTGTGACAGGAAGGCAAGGGTTAAAGAATAAAAAAACAGTTTATACAGTGTGCTTAAGGAAGGTCTTCAGAGTTTATCTTCCATCAGCTGGAGTTCGACTGAGTGACAACATGATTCGGGCAAAACGCTCACACAGTTCATGGGTGGAATAAGAAGGTACTTTTGGTGAGTCATTGAAGCCTTTAATTTCTGTAGAACAATCCAGCAATTTTGGCAGAAAATCCGTCAATTTTTCTTGTAAGTTAGCTGTAAAGACAAAGATGTATGCATTTATCCTTTATCTTGCAAGTATTTTGTATTTCTGAGTAGTCTGCAAATAGTTTTTGGAACGTGGACAGTATTTTTTACTCTGTTTTCACTGCTATCATCAAGAAACAAGCAAAACACTTTATGAAACCTCTGACTGATGACTGATTCTAGCTGTAGTTATAAAGCTGCTTTCCTATGGGCACCTCTGGGATGAAGAGAATTATGCATTATAATGCAGAATAATGAATAAGAACATATTTCTTATCACTTTCTAGTATCAGCTGGTCCACTGAAACTGATAGATCATTCAATGGACTAGCTCATATGACAACCTAGCATGAAATACTTAACAGTAATACACAGTGTCTATGTATTACTATACATACTTTGTATACTGTATATACAAATGTAAATAATATGATTTTATGATTAACACACTAAATGTACAGTAATGAGCAGTGTTCCGCTTTATGGTCAATCTGATAGATTGTGCCTGTCAATGGCAAAATGTGTTAATAATTGCACTGCTTTCACCGTAACAGCCCAATTTCTGTCCCCATTTCCCATACAGTAACTTTAATGATACATCCAAATCCTCAACTTCAATTCAAGATATTTTGCTTTGCACTTCAACTGATATGTGCAAATCCAGGAAATGCAATTTATTCAGGCTAGTTATAAATCATTTCATTACTATATATCTAAAAAAATCATTTCATTACTACGTCTAAAAAAAATCTAGAAATAACTTACGCTCCATTTCTTGTCCAAGATATGAACACCACCTGTTCCTCATATCTTCCACAGCAACAATATCCTTTTCCTCTGTTTCATCCACCAGCAACAATGGTAGACAAGGAACAATAAGCTCATTCATAATTTCCAGGCCCTTATTTACTTGTTGATCATCTCCAGATTCAAATTGTGCAGCAGCACACTCATTTAATTTCTTCATGCAACATTAAAAAAAAACAAACAAACCACAAAACAGTAAATATTCACACTACTTCCAGAGAGATTCAGTTTTCAACTAGATTTTTCTCCACGCAAAGTTAGAAGGTATAGATATAAAAACTTCAGAATAGTTTTTATAACTAAGTAGCAACCCCATTGTAACAAAGAATGCAATGATCTCCTAAAATAATTTATGTAATCCCCATCCCTATGAATAAAACTGTTCGAACATGCTCTAACTAAATTCCCTCTTCCATAAAACTTCTGGCTCTGCTGGTTTGTCTTTATCTTCCATTATTTAATGGAAGCAGTGATCTATTGGAAACTAGCTCAATATCTATCAGGTACAAGAAGAGGCAGAAGGAATACTCAAATAACTCAAGTTAGTGGGGGAATTTAAACAATGGCACTTGGGCTATTGCAAGCAGCCCTGAAATGTGTTGAGGTAGAACAACTGTCAGGTCTGCCTCGCTATGTTTGGCCAATAGCAACAAGACTGCAAATGTCATACCACTGTAACATTCTTATTCTTGATACAGATTGCTTCAATTTACTATCACTGATGATGATGACAGTAACAACAAGAAGCTGAAAACTCTGAAAACTGATTTAATCAAGGCATTTAGCATGAATAGGCAAAATTTCAGAATTTATATTGGGATTTAGAGGTAGATCTTAAGGTAACTTTCAATAGATTTTGAAAAATGTCTAATCTCAAATTTTCAATCTAATCTCAATACCAACAGCTCAAAAGAACTTCTTCACTTCCCATAAAAATAAGAATTAATTCTTATTTTAATTTTAATTTCTTATTCTTAAATTAATTCTGCCCACTGAAAAGGTTGCTGGAACACAGTAAGAAGATGACAAGCTTATTTTTGATACTGAAAAATATTTCTAGAACATTGCCTCAGAAGCACTCTTGTTCCTTTGTGCAAACAGCAAGAAGATCACTTATTGAGAACTCTAAACAAACATTCATAGAATTGTGATATATGTGCATAACAGATCTTACTTGACTCTGCTTTGAAAGGGGAACTTGGCATATTAATAAAAAACAAACTAAACTCCAAAAGCCTAAAGTCTGCTCAATTCTCTCATATTAATATGGTACAAGGCTGGCATTAAACCATTTAAATGGTTTGACATAAATTATTGAGAATTTTTTTAAAACTGTTTATGATTTTATTAATAAAACAAAACATTCTGCATTACTGAAATCATGGCAATCTCAAGTAAGAATTTTACTTACTAGCAAGCATTCTCTTCTGTAATGGGATAACAGTTCTTCATCATGCCCCCTATACAAACCATTTGATGACAGTTCTTTGTTCTTGTGATATGCACATATAAGATATAACAAAGCTTCTTTAAAACTAGAACACAAATTTAAAAAATAAAATATTTTCAAATGTCATCAAAACCATTTTAATAATGATGTATATATTTGGTGTATACCACCAGATAATCAATATTTAGATTTGTATACAAAACATTGGAATAAAGCAATAAGATTGCTTAAATACTCTTCTATAATCAGGATAATTCTTGGCAGCTTACAGTATATACTAAAGTTAGGTTAAAACCAATCATCATCATAATAACAACTGTAACAATAACCACATCCAACCTCTTCATATAAACATCAAGCATGAAAAGCAACAAGAAAACAATATGGCATCAGGTATAAATTTAAGAAAAGGCTCTCTAAAACAATTCAGTTTTTAACATTTTTCAGAAAACCTGCAAGGAGGGCCCAGCCTGATTGCTGCTGGAAGGCTGTCACAGAGATACTGATGCTACACAGAAAAGCAGCACCTTCTAGCTTCAGTTCCCTGAACTTCTAAAAAATAAGGATTATATGTAGTTTCTCCCTATCTGTTCTAAAAGGTTGGTCCAATACTGTTCGGAGAAGACTTCTAGGTATCCAGTTACCAAAACATAACGGGCTTGTAAATTGATATCAGCACCTAAAATTGTTCTTGGAAACCAACCAATAACCAGTGTAGGGCTCATAGAAACAGTATGATACAGTGGTGCTTAAAAGCTTATGAACCCTTTTGAATTTTCAATATTTCTGCATAAGGATGACCTAAAATGTGTTTTATTTTTTATCATTTTACCATTTTCATGGATGAAAACTGAAGATTAGCCTGTATTGTCACAAGCTTCTCTATCCTTTTACAGATTAATTTATCTCTTGATCTGGTTTTGTTCCAAATATAAAGCAATTTCTTTCATAAGCATTTCATGTACTCTTAAAAACAAAAATAGTTTTTGAATTTTTTCAGTTAAAAAAAATCCTCATATTTTAAGAAAACAAAAAAGGAAAAGAAGAAAAAGCATTTCTTGGTCACTGATAATAGAAGAAAACAAAGTTTGCAAGCTCTGATACTACTGCTCACGTATATCCTCATCCTTCTATAAAAAGGTGTATAACTGATACACTGTGTCTACAATATTGTAGTGAAGAAAATAACTGGAGAATTTTGTACAATATACTATATACTATATAATTTTGTACTATTATGTTTCAATCTAGCAATCTTTTCTTTCTTTTTTTTTTAGAATAGAGAATAGCTTAAGTATATTATATATTTTTTTAAAAATAAAAAGTTTGTGGATTCTCTTACTTCCTTTTTTGGAAAAATTCCAATCCCACCATGAGATATATCGTCGTATCTCTGAAATTTCTGTACTCTTGGTGCCACCACTGCACAGAAATTAGAAAGAAAGAAAGAAAGAAAGAAAGAAAGAAAGAAAGAAAGAAAGAAAGAAAGAAAGAAAGAAAGATTAAATTCACAATTAAATTCACAATTGCTCTCCTTTTGTATCACTTATTTAATATAGATCTACAAAATCTTTATAGCCATTCACATCAATGAGAAAATGTCTTATAACCAATAGTTTTTTTTAAGTACAACACACTTTACTGATTTGGATTTTCATCTGTTTTTTCCACTCCTGTTTAACAGATAAATCTGACTGCAAGCAAGTTTGTAACAGCCACTAGTTTTCTGAAAATGTCCAACAACTGATTATAAAATAATTGTAGCTGTATTGGGGAGTTTGCCTTTTCTGCAGGATTTTAAAATACAACTTTTTGTTACAATTTACTAAACAAGTTTCAAAACAGAATCCTAACCTCATAATCTTCCATATTGACTTCATCTGGCTTTATCATCTGAATTTTGGCTTGAGCCACTTTCATTATATTACGGCACCTTAGGGAGTAAAACAAAATGCATTAATGAAGATCATATTACCAATGCTTCAGAGCAACAAGCATGAGAGTAACATTATTCCAGGAAATAATTGATAGCTTTGGTGTCAAGATAGCCCTGATATTCCCTACATTTATTTTAAAATAAGGTCAAATTGATTTTGCACCACTTCAAGGCTTCAGATGGAAAACTGCATAAAGTTGGTGTTTATTTTGGAGGGCAGGGGGGGATTCAAGTCAGCTTGACTTCTGGCAGCTATACAGACAAGTCCACACAATTTTCCGGCAAAAATATTGGGAGTGGTTTACCACTGCCTTCTTCCTACGGCTGAGAGAGAATGAAAAACCAAATTTACCCAATTGTTTTTTTGTGTCTAGCGCAGGACTAAAAGTTACAGTCTTCTAACTTCCAGCCCAATGCATTTAACCACTACACTAAACTGTCTCTCTTAAGATAAATTAATGTCCTTTTTCTTGTAAAAACATGCATTGTAGAAAAAGAAGTCATATTTCAATGTTGATTTTTCATGTCTGTTTTAGTACAAGGCTAGGTTAGGAACTGGCTGTTTAGACATTTATTTGGCAACTTTGAATTAAAGATGACTGTTTTTCAGTAATGCTGACATTGTAACCTATATTAAAATATTAACTGAAAGTACTGCTCTAAAGTCAGCAATGTTTCAGACAAACATCTCTTTTTTTCCCCTTCTATAGTGGGAATGAAGTGTCCTTGTTTTATTTCTTTTAAAAAATGACACATTTTTTAGAGAAATAAAACATTTAAAATATACAACTGGGTATAAAATCCTAGGCTTGGACATGATTACCTGTTTGGTAATCCTCCAGACCTTGTAATTATATATAAGAGATGCACAAACATTCAGGTTGTATTTGATTTTCACTGTCTCCAAAATTGCTTGATTCTGTACTATTTTATTTTCTATATCATCAGTCTTAATTTTTATCCTTTGATTTCCCCTACATGTGTGTAATTATTCATTTTTATTATCTATCCCTCATTTAGGAACCTTCATTCTACAGTGTTTTTCTATATAAACACAACTTATAAAATATTTCAGTCACCAATGAGCAAATAAACAACACACACTTTTCTCTGCTTGATTTAGAAAAGATAACTCTAATTAAAAATGCAACAGCCTACTTTTTTGTTAAGTTAGAAGTTATAGAGGGGGGAGAGAAATATTCAAATAAAATATATTAATAATACTCTTTATTGCACTAACATTTAGTATAACAAGCAATGTGATCAAGAGGAACTTAGTGCCACTGGTGTTTAAGAACCAGTACTAGATTTTCCCTCTAGAAGGCAATCCACATTCATCTGAGAAAACCTGCCACAGAACACTGTGGAAGACATTTAGGTTCCCATGGATGTAAGAAACCTAAGGATCATATTGAGAAAGAGGAAAAATGTCAGAGTGTGGATGATTCTCTACTGAAAGGACCAAGGCAGCTTTGTGCAGTCCCAATAAGAGACTGCAACATGTGTGTAGTCTTCCAGGTACCCATATGCAGGGCATGATGGAGAGGTGACCAACTATATTTGGTACCACTAGGTACCACTAACAACTATATTTTCTCTTAATTCACATGGGGACTAATGGCACAGCCAGAAAAGATGTAAGAAAAGAATACAAGTAGTCTCCAGTAACTGTAGAAACTCTGTCAGAAAGGCCAAAACTCGGAATGAGCTGAGGCTTGAGAGAGAGATAAAAGACAACTACAAAAGGATCATTTTGATAGATAAGAAACAACAACAAAAGCCAAAGATTGTTTAAATCTGTTACAAGAAGAAAATGGTGAACTACTAATGGATGATGTGAAAAGGCAAAACATCTCAACTTCTATTTTGTGTCTGCCTTCTCTCAGAAGATAAATGGAACTCTACGTGCCACCATTATACTACTGAAGGAAGGGGAGCACTTCTACTTAAGAAAACAAGAAGGAAAAAGAGAATTTAGCTAATCCAAACAAATGGCAGTCCCTCTAGATTACATCCTAGAATACTAAGGAACTAGCAGAAGTGATTGCAGAACCACTTTTGTTACTCTTTGAGAATTCCTGGAGATTGGTGTGGTCCAAGAAGACTGGGTGAGCAAGTATCACACCCATCTTCAAAAAGAGGAGAAGGAAGAGGATACAGGAAACTGCAGACCTGTCAACTTGATGCCTATTCTGGGTAAGGTCTTCAAACAAATTATTAAACAGTATGTTTATGAGCATCTGGATAGGAATGCTACAATTAATAAGAGCCAGATGGAACTGTACTGAACAAACCATGCCAGACTAACCTTACCTCTTTCTGTGATAGCGTTATTAGATTTGTATATCAGAGGAATGTCACAGATATTGTGTACCTGGATCTCAACAAAACCTTCAATGGAGTGCCTCATGATAGTCTTAATATAACGGTAGAATTTGTGGTGACATAATACTGCTGTTAGATGGACAACTTAGTTGGCTGAATGACCACACCTAAAGAGTTCTCCTTAACAGCTCTGCTTCAGCTTGAAGGAAAACATCATAGGATTCTGTGATGGCATCTCTGCTGTTCAGCATTTTTATCAATTAGCCATGAGGGAATAAATAAAATCTGCATATGATCCAAAGCTGGGGTGGTGGCTAATACATAGATGAAAGAGAAATGTATAGGTAGAATTTAACAGGGAAAATATAAAGTTCTGCACCTTGGCAGAAGAAATATAAGGTACAAGTATAGGATGGGGAAACCTGGCTTGGCAGTGGTGCAGATGAAAGGAATTTGGGTATCTTTGATGACAAGTTACATACCAGCCAGCAGTGTGATATAGCTGCTAAAAAGGCAAATGCTATCTTGGGGTGCATTAATAGGAGCATCAACTCCAGAATACAGAAAAGTAATTGTTCCACTGAACTCTGCCCTGGTCAGACCCACCTGAAATATTGTGTACAGGTCTGGGTGGTACAGTTAAAAATGTAGTGACAAATTGGAATGAAATTGGAGAAGGGCTATCAAGATGGTGGGAAGTGTGGAAACCCCATGACAAATGGTTAAAGGATCCTAATATGCTTAACTTAAGATGACTGAAGGGAGATATGGTAGCAATCTTCAAATAACAGAACAGTTGTCACATAGAAGAGAGAGTGAACTTATCTTCTATTGCCCCGGAGGGCAGGACCAGAACCAGTGAGTTCAAACTACTAGAAGGTAGGCTTATGCTAGACTTAAGAAAGGGTTTGCTAAGGGGGGGTATGATTAAGCTACTAAGGTTTGTAAATTTAATACTGTTGCCTCTACCATTATCAGACAAACAAGAGACTGGTGGCAATGTAAACTGAACGAGTAACAAGAAATTAGAACTTAGTAGATACCACACTTATTCCCTTGCCCTCTGTAGCATCTATCCCTTGCCAGGAAGATTCCCTATTACTATTTTATTCAAGAAGAAGCAAGACAAAAAGTAAGTCAGGCATTAACTATATTCAAATGTGGTAATGGAATATAGTCTGGATCACTATGGAAGAGAAAAAAAGTAACTATTTTTACAAAATGTTCTTTATAAAAAAAAGCTGAATCATTTACACCAATGACATTTCAAAATAGTTCTATTCTACTTAAGAATCTTTGTTTAAAATGTTTTGATACAAGGCTGCTTACATAATTACCTTTCGTCAAAACTCAAATTGTGATCTGCAAACTGCTCCAACAATGTTCGCTCAATTATTTTCTTTGGGGCCTGATTCTGGATGAAGTATACAATTGCATGATGCAAACGGTAATCACGCTCAGGAGGCGTGTCTTCTTGGGCCAGTTTGAGCAATCTTGCATATTCAAATTTTATTGCCTAAATACAAAATAATGAACTCATTAGATACTACTGAACTGTCCACTTTCAAAAGTAAAGATTATACCACATTAAAAGATATGGGCCCTATGCAGATTAAAATTATACATAAATATCACAAATAGCAAACAGGTTCAACTGTATGATTGTACATTCTTTAAAGTACAGCTTGATATTTAGCATTTCTTTAGAAATAATGTTTGGGTTGCAAATTTTGTTAAGACTTTTTGTGCTCATCTACAACAAAAATCTCTGTTTCTCAATTTAAATATAAACTTTTTTATTTCTAAGAAAAATGGGAAATATTTTTAAATAGGAAAGCACAATGTCAGACCAATGTTTTGTACTGTATTGTACACTCTTAACCATTAAAACAAATTTACTTCCACATTAGCAGTGGACTATTTATTAAACCCAACAATATTTAATAAATATGCATATGCTAGACTACAACTAACAATTGACAACAAATACAATCTTTATACAGAAGGCATAGAAAAGAACTGAAGTATTTTTTTAAAGAAATAAAAAATGTTCCTAAAAAATAAACAGAATTCAAAAGAATGTATTATCACTGTTTCTTATACAGATCTAAAGCCATATAGAAAGCTAAAAAGTTAAAAAATACTACACACACATAAAAGAAACACAAAGAACGTATCACTGAATCAATATAACTTTTGAAATATGCATGTGGAATCTTATTTGTTTGTTTACGAATGTAGATCAGTTTTAGAACATAAATATTTAGAATAAAATAATGTGATTATTTCTAAGCAGGATTGCTATCTTTTAACTGAAAAATTGAACAATACAGTGTGAAGTAAACGTGTTTTAGATTTATATGGTGGGCTATGAGCAAGTCTCTGGCTATGCTATGCATATAATTGTTTCATCCATCCCTTTGTGCAGTTATGCAAACAGCAATGAATATCTTAATTATCTAGTTTCACATTAAAACTGAACCAGGAAACAACTGTTAACAGCTTAGAACTACACAGGATATAAAGTATCCATTTAATATATTTTGGGTTAAATGTGACCCAGAATTTAGTAAAAGTATACTGTATGTAATAATATAAAATGAAAGTGTGAGTGGAAAAGCAGCAAAATGCTTAAGAAATATTTATCATTATATCATACAGTATCTTCTAACACAGCAGAAATATGCAGATAAAGAACATTTCTTGCATTAGATTCTTAGTTTATAATAGGAATAAATCCATATTTCCTCCCCCCCAAAAAAACGGCCTCCATTATCACTTTATATAGAAATTTAGCTTTTTAGAAGTCATAGAAGTCTTAAGGATTAGGAATCTTTCCTTTTATTAATTTCTTTAGCTATCTCCATACAAATTTATTTATTTAGGTTCCATTATCACAGAAAGAATATAAATTCTGCCATGTTATTAAGACTGTTGAATTAGTTGATCTACTTTACATTTAAAAATTGTGTAAAATGTGTCAAATTAAAAATGTTTTGAATTTGAAAGGCCAAATTTTGAGTTTCGAACAGTTTTGAAACTGGGACCATAACACAAGTGATTCAGGATTAAAACAAAAGTGGTTTATCAGCCATAATGATTGAAACAGCAATATCTGGTTTGGGCTCTAATTCATATATTTTGCACTTTACAAAGATATGTTTTTATGCTTGCTATTGGCAGAAAGAAGAGGATGGAAAGAAGAAAATCTATCAGTTGTTACTTGTGCTAGGACAGGTGTGTAAATCACAATCTAATCCAAGCAATAAAGACTGATATATCTGTTTTTCTATCAGCAGATCTATGTGCCTAGTTTAAAAAAAAAAATCTAGAAAAGAAATGTGAGTGAAAAATTCAGCTGCTGGATTTTAATGTTACAGTAAATTTATTGCAAGAGGCAGGTTTAGGCAATTGTAATAGGAAGCAAGCCTGGGTGTGGTTCTGTTTAGTTTTAAGGACCTTAACTTGATAGCTACTAGCTAATTGCTTTAGCTAGTGAGTAGTGCACTGATACCTATGTAATTTCTGCAATTTTCTGTGCATGGGTTACTGGACAACCACCAAGCCCCTCTTCCTTTCTCATTTAGTAATGCATATGCAACCTACTTTCTTAATGGCTCTGAAGGCTTAAAAATAGTATTAAAATAATTGTATTAAAAACATATTACCTGTTACTTAAACCATTATTATCAGTGCCTAATACCTGAATCTGGGGACCAATTTTTAAGCAGTATCATTTATTCCACTTTGAATCATTACTGAATTTTTACTGAAGTTTCCAGTTTTACGAACCTCAAGGGAAACTAAAAATTGCATTTATAGTTCTAAAAATACGACCAGGTTTGGATGATCAAATTTCAACAAAACACATTTAAATGTGAAACAACTAAAAATTAAAAGAACAAATTAAAGTACAAAAACAGAAAAGGAAAAATTGAAAGTATTGATTGTACCTGAAAGAACCCTGCTTCTGGCCCACACCTGTCATATATATGCGTGGCTTTACCTATAGCCATTATAATACCTTGCATGTTCGGGGTCAGCATAACCTGTCATAGGAGATTCATATATATATATATATGCATATATACTGAGCAATGAAAAATATAAATTCAAGTCAGCATGTGCCTTCATATACTCATGTCATATAGCAACTGCATGCACAAACTGCAGGGACAAATGTTTAGTTTTCTTCAGTGGTTTCAAAATCGCAGGTTCTATCACCTTCATTACCTGATCTAAATTTATGTCTGAATGAACCTCAGGCATTTAAAAAGGTGTTTTAACACTTCACACGCATGCAAATTGGCTTCTAAAAGTAAGTAAAATGGGACTGCCATTTTACTAGGTATCAGGGAGCAATGAGATATAGCACTGCATTCAGAACTACAAACAGATTTTGTTACAAATGGACATTTAAATATTTATTTCTAAAAAATAAGATATCAAAAATGGAACTACTAAATGCCTAAGATGTTCAAGCCTTCCCCAAAATGTCATAAAATAAGCTACAGAATATAATGAGGGCTGTTATATACACATATTCTACATGCATAATAAATCTTTTTTTCCCCTCCCTTTGGAATGTGTGGTTGTTCTATTTATGCACTTCAGATGTGTAGCTGCCTCTCATTTTCTCCTCTCAAGGCTTCCAATGAAAAAACTAACTTCGCATCTGCAATCCAAAGCATCACAGTAGTTTCTGTTTAGGTCATATTTCTGGAATATTTTTATTTATTTGTTGGATGTTTCCCTTGTTTTACTCCAGGAGTGCAAGGTGGCATACCAGACTATCTCCCTTTATTGTATTGCCACATGCACAACCCTCCAAAGGAAGCTCAGCTAAGTGAAAGTAACTGACCTAAAGGTACCCACAGACTTTCCACAGCTGAGTGTAGACATGAATGTGGGTTGCTCCACCCCTAGTCTTTAATCACTGCACTACACTAACTCTACATCACTCTACTAGTAACTATATGAGCTTCCGGGTGAGAACCTATGGTAGGTTAGAAGTCGTGAGTGTCTTCACAAGTGGGAACAGCACCATGGTGAAGACTGGTGGCCAGGTGGCAAGTTCTGGCTGACAAAATTTTCTCCAGAAAAGGAGAGATCAGGAGATTGCCCACTTGTGCTCTGGATAGCTGGTCCTCATGAGGAGACTGCAGGAATTGAATTTCTCACAGTCGACCATGGGTTGAGTGGCTTGGAGGCCAAGGGATCACCACCACCCTCAAAACTGCTATGTAGAGTTTATGGACACCTGACCTGCAAAAGCCTCACTTTCTTAAAGACTTTTGGATACAATTAATGTACAACTTAAGAGAGATCTAAATGGCAGGAAAGAATAATGACACTTGGTGAGTCTCCTTCTTTTTGGAATTAAAAACAGAAAACTATCTTAAAGAATTTTGACTTAAAAGCAAAAAGCTTAATAAGATTATGATTTAAGAAAGTTTTAAACAGATAAAGGGGACAGTAATTTTAGAAAATTCTACCAGTAACTACATGGCAGCCATAGCTGGTGTATGTAAAGACTCCAATATTCATTCTTTTTATCAGGACTGACTATATCTTTTTTGTGGGGTAACTTATTATTTGACAAAGAGGTCACTTTTTTGGCATATTCTACTGTGACTGTTATATCATTTGGAGACATGGGATTGGCCCTTCTTGTATACAGTAACCAAGTATGATTCTTGAAGCCTAGGCTGAACTCTTGATTTCATTTTGGTATCAAAAGCGTCTATGCACTTTTTAGCTTTAGTGAGTAAAGCCTTAACTTTGCATGTGCTATATTTAGCCTTCCTTAGTTCTTTATAGTTTTTATTCTTTGTATCTTAAAAAAATGTAGGTGTGAAATGTTTTGATGATAATAATAATATCCAACTGTGAATTTGTGATTTGTATATTTAAATGTTGTGAGGACACACCTAATTAGCAGGTTTATAGTATCACAAACACAATGTGCAAATTCTAAATTTATATATATGGATGATCTAAGTTTAATTTTATACCATGCAAATAAATGTGCTATTAGAAAAAAAGCAGCAGTGGTTTCTGTTTTGGCCAATTTCAATAAATGAACTCAAGTTAAGTTTGTTAAAAAGCAAAAGCTAGTTAAGCTCTATCATGTGCAAGCATGCCAAAGGCTTATCAGGCACCTATGTACAGCACATGAAAAGTGTAATAGTTTGTGACCAAATTGAAGGCGATACCTCATCATCATACCCCCCTTCCTCTGACTCAACCATGTAAGTCCCTATATCAGGAATCGTCACCTCTATAACTTTTTGGTTTGGAGCTGTTCCAATTGGGGCACTATGAGAGTTCTGTAGATTAAAAAAAAATAAAAATAAATGAGAACAAAAATCAATTTGATAGCAGATGTATCAAATTATCAGATAAATTGCAATTGCAGTGAGAATATTATCAATCTTACTCTATTTTTATATGTATCCTTAATGTCAACTATTTATTTTTATAAGGGAGTTGTGAATGTCTAAAACATTAAAAAAAAAAATCACAACCAACCAAAAGGCCACACAAAATTTTTGGGGAAAAAATTAATTTTACTTACCAAAGAAGTAGTGGGAAGATTTCATGCATGTGGATTTTAAAGGCAGAGGTGGGTTAAGTTGGTTGGTTGTAGGTTTTGGTCTTTTTTTTTTTTTAAAGGGTTATGGGTTTATTTCACAGTTGTGTTTCCTTCCTCAAAATGACAAGAAACCATAAGAGACCACAAAAAGTTTGAGAATAACTTGCCTTTGGAAAAGTATACCGAGCCAAAAGACTAAAGGAACTGACATGGCCTTGCTACAGATACTGATGCACTTGAAGTCAAAATCCTATATGTCTAGCTGTTGAAACAGAAAGATGCTATGTTCTTGGATTGATAGTCTTATTTTAAAATAGATGTAAATGCCTAAATGGCAATATAGTAGTTCACTTGAAATTTCCATTTAAAATTGCTTCATATTACAACCAATTTGATACTTTAGAGGAAGTACTGGAGGAAGCTATACTGAAAGGGAAGGTATTCAGGAATTATAGATAAGAACAGATAAAATAACAATGAAATAAAAAATAAATAGGGGTAGCATTATTTAACTAGATTCAGTATCATAGGGAAAGCTTAAATGTATTTTCAAATAAGAAATGATAAAATAATTAAATGAAAATGAATGAAAATGAAAATGTAAATGAATGAAAATCAGCATGGAGTTTTAGTTGACTATATTAATTAATTAATTAATATTAATATTATAAATTATTTATATATTTATATATTTATATATTATTATAT